TATAATTATAACCTCAAATCGAAACGTCTTGTGAGCGTTGTCATGAATCTGTTAGTGTTTTCACAAGCCGAAAATGTTTTCTTTGAAAGGAAAATCATTAAATAATATCTTTGACAATGTTTGACATATAACCTCCATTACTAACATAACCTACATTTAAATGTATGTGGTGAAATAATCTAAGTCGTACGTCCATATCTTGATTCATACCATTTTTAAGCGATGACTTACTGCCAGCTCTCGTGGTTTCTACTATACATTATATATATTTCCGTTTAATTAAGTAATTAGACAATGTACTTTCAGTCGTGCCTGATGAAGGAATAAGTTATTCCGAAACTTGTAGCACCGAAAATAAATTTTAATAATAAAATATAAAGCTTCATCATTAACCTTGAGTTTTAATAGTTCTATTCATATTGAACGATGAATATTGAATCTACGATTGCTAAGCTACAAATGTTTCTAGTTCTAGGTCTAATGTTACTTCTAGTAACAGTGCAAATGTAAAACTAAAACTAACACTATACCTAGAACTAGAATCATTCGGGTTTAGCCGTCTTTAGAGACGTGCGGCTAAACCCAAATGATTCTAGTTCTAGGTGTAGATCTAGTGTTAGTTCTAGTTTAACACTAGCACTGTTATTATGTAGAACTAACAGTAGATTTAGAACCTGAAACTTTCTAGCTAAGTCTAGTGTTAATTCTAGTTTTAATTGTTATGCAGAGCTAGACCAAGAACTAGAATCATTCGGGTTCAGCCGTCTGAAGAGACGTACGGCTAAACCCAAATGTTTCTAGTTCTAGGTCTAATGTTAGTTCTAGTGACACTGCAAGTGTAAAACTAACACTATATCTAGAACTAGAATCATTCAGGTTTAACCGTCTTTAGAGACATGTGGCTAAACCCAAATGATTCTAGTTCTAGGTATAGTGTTAGTTCTATATAATAACAGTGGTAGTGTAAAACTAGAACTACTGCATTCATATATTGCGAGTTATATGAAATTCCCGCTATAGTTCTTATAGAATACTGCTTATAAAAGATTATATATTACTTGGAGAAGATCAGACATTGATTACAGAAGGCTGTATAT